ATTAAGGTCAGTGGAGGGACAGATCTGAGAGTGTCCAGATAATGGGGAGAGTCTCAGAGGTGACTGTGTTTACCAGGTGGTAAGGAAGCATTCACATCCTCCCAGTCCCGCTGCCAGGCTTGGTATCCTAGCACAGGCTCTTTCCTTTTTCTGTCCCTGAGCACCTCTCTCCACAGCTAAAGATGAGGATTCACACAGCGATTGGCCCCTTGCCGCTGGCATCTCCCTGAGCTCTCTCCCTGCCTGGTCCTTGAGCTTCTCTGGGCTACTCTAGTAGACTCTCTGCCCCAAGCTGAGCAGCCTTATATACCAGAGAGTTGACTCTGAGTCCTCTATGAACCTGAAAGCTATCTATCCAGATAGGTGGAAGTCACACTAACATTCCTCCTTCAGCTGGGGGCTAGAGAGACTGAGTTCTAGAAAGACAAGGTCTAGCCCTTAAGGTGAGGAAGTTGATCTGTGTGGTAGGTTTTGGACATGTGGGCTAGGTCTTTGGCATGCCCACAGCCTTTTCACTCTGCCTTGTGAATGCAGACTCGAATGTTCTGATGCATATGTTGTGGAACAGGTAAAGTTGTGTGCAGAGGTGTTGTTTCCATGATTTGAGAATATCACAGTTTTGGTCCTGTGTAAGACCAGAGAAAAAGGTTCTCCTCACATAGGTCTGCCGTGAGCAAGTTCCCTCCATTTGCTGCCATTTCCATGCCTGCTACAAGTGTCACTAATGGTTTAGACTGGCAACCTAGGGAAGAGAGACTCCACCCTTGGCAGAGCCCATAAGCTGACAAATCACCAGAAGCTTAAGAAAGTCATCTCTGGTGACTTTCATGGTCCTGTGTTCTGCTGATTGTGTGCTGGCTAAAAAGCAGTGGGCATGGGGGATTGGGTGTCACAGGCTTAGATCAGGAACCCCTCTACCCTAAACCTTCCCCTGTCTCTTATTACCAGTTTTCAAGGCAAGGATGAAAAGGCTGGTTTGCATCCACACAGTAAATGAAGAGGTCAGAGAGGTGCTGCCATGCCCAGAGCCCTGTGTCAGCCTCCCAGCCGCTGGCCTAGCCTGAGCAGGGCAGGGCTGCCTCTTTAGCGCCACTGTTTCTATAAGCTAATGAGGGCAGTGTATGAGCCATAGGCGATGATGGTGGGATATTAACTGTGACAGGAAGCTTGATCATAATTATCTTAACGAGGATAGGGTTAATTACAGTGGAAACTTAAAAGTTCTCTATTTGACTACACTGGAGCCAAATTCATTGTGATGTTTTGTCATTTTGATGTGACTTTTGAAGAAGTACTAGGACTCTCCCCAGGGTTGTCTCAAGCCCCCAAGAGAACCCAGTAAACAAGGTTGACCAAGATAGTACCTATGAGTGTGGTCATGCTAGTTTCCCCACTGGTGGAGAGGGAGGGAGGCAGGCAATCAATCTGCAAACTGATGTGGAGGTGCTGATGAGGTTTGCAGAGTGAACCATCTACTTTAAAGTGGTCCCACGTGGGATCCTACCTGCTCTGAGTGGGTGCGTCCACGTGCTCTCCACTGTTTTCTTCTAGTGCTGAAGGAGCCCTGTGATTCCCTCTACCTTCCATCCCATACCTCTCAGGGATTGCAGCTACCACCCGGCAAATAACCCTAGAGTGACAGTCAGCTCTGCATCAGGCTCTCATTTTGGATTGCATTTTGCTGTTTACACTTTAGCTCAGACCACATTATCATCTTCTCTGTAAACTACCATTGCCATCCCGGGAAACGGACATGCCATGCCTCGATTTTTATGCTTTTTATTTTTATTTATTTATTTATTTTTACGTCTTGTCATTCTAGACAACAGTGAATATCTACCTGCAGGAACCTGGAATAGAGGGCTTGTCATAAGAAACTACATCCTCCTGATCGTTTCTTTTGATGATAATAACAATAACAGTAACTGGAAAAACATTTCAAAGTAAAAAGGTGAAGCCCTTTTCCATTGCATGTTCGCTGGACATATTGTTTGAACTCCACAAATTCTTTCCCCTGGTGCCTTTCCTTCCTGGTGTTCTGAACCTCTCACCTCCAGTCCCTCGACTGCGAATTTCGTGAAACACATCCTCAAGTGTACCCACAGCAATCATGGAAACAGGACTTTGTTCATCAGCACCTCCCTCCCACATTGTACAGATCTCCTTTTACCTGAACACTAGCAACATTACACAGGAAAAAAAAAAAAAAAGAATCTGGAAACCAGACAAGAGATGGGAGATTTGGAGGGGTGAAGGGGCTCTTCTCTGAGGTCCCACTTCTTTATGGAGCTCTGATGTGTGGCCTGTACTGTGGAGAGAAAGAGGCAGCCTTGGTGGGGCCAGCACCCCTGTGGTGTACTGGCTTTGCCCTCTTCATCCTGTGTCACTTTGTTTTCCGTCTCCTCAAGAGCAGTGTGGGAAGGCAGGCAGCTTTCTTCTGCTTGCCTGTTGCCAGCCCTTTGCTGTGTCTCATGATAAAAAAAATACAATATTTACATAACATACCTCTGAACAGTGTGTATCTAAACGCTGCCTTTGAGCAGAGCCCATCTGATGTTGGTGCACAAAGAATGTATTAACTTCTCACAAGGCTTCCTGTTTGGGGGTGGGGGGTTCTCCATTCCCCCTGTGGCAAGCAGCAGCCTGGCCCTGAAACAGTTGTGGCTAATGAGCTTGGTTCACTGACTCCTGTGGAGAAAGAGACACATAGCTCATTTAGTTGAGAACTTGACTTTATATTCAGTATCTGATCCCCAGAAATCCACCAACTAGGCCTGATGGAGCATGCCTATAACTCTAATACTGGATAGGTTTAAACAGGAGGGTCAGAAGTTCATAGGTCATATTTGGCTTCATAATGAGTTTGAGGCCAGCCTGGAATATATGGGAGCCAGCTTTCAACAAACAAAAAAGCCGAGGACTTCAGAAAGCCCAAAGATTTCCCCCACACTGGCTTTATCCATCTGCCTATCCCATATGATTCCTCCACTCTTTCTCCCACCCCCAGGTCTCAGGATAAGCCAATGGATGGCAGGAGGAGGCAGCCCTGAGTGGGAATACAATTGTCCTCTGAGGGGGGAGGCACACAGAGCCAGCAGGCATTCCGTATGCCCCAGCACAGGCTACACGGAAACAGAAGAGCAGAGACAAAGCTCCATAGCCTACACCAAAGTCCCCGAAGGGAGGGAGATGTTTGGCCTCCCAGAAGCCTATGAAACAGGATGACCCTAAGTTAAAGTGCAGGCAGTTTCAGTTTTTCATGTTTGCCCACCCAGCAGGTAGCACTGACCTCAGAGCCTTTGTGCTCTGGGTTCTAGAGCCAGAGTGAGACCACAAGAAGGTCTCTTAGACAACGGACATGCAGATGGTAGCAACCCCTGGGCCCAGTGGAAGCTGAAGATTTGATGAGCATGCTCTTACATATCTCAAGGGTAGGGCCCCCACTTCCTACCCCCAGTTTGGGGTACCTTCTGTCAGAAACTCACCATGGAGCCATGGCACTTTGGGAAAGCCTCTCTGCTAAAGCTCCCTGCTAAAGCTCCCTGCTAAAGCTCCCTGCTAAAGCTCCCTGCTAAAGCTCCCTGCTAAAGCTGCCTGGGGTGCACACAGAAAACACACAAGATGACAGGGCCTTAGTATTGGTGCAGTCAGTAAACAAGTAGTGTGGCAGACATTCTGATTGGCCATACTTTATAGACTAGCCAGGGACTGAACGTGTGTCTTCCCTTCACTGGCTCTGTGCCTCAACAAGGCTACAGCCTATGCAAGCTCAGCACCTTATCTCCTGGGCCTGGCAGGTGAGCAAGCTGGGAATAAGTACCTGAGAAAGCCCTGGGACTTTTGGCTCCCTTTAATTAACATTTGTGTGTGCCTGGGCAAGCATCTGTACACAACCACCTCTTGATCCCCCCTACTCCAAACACTCACCAGAGTCCCTCAAGTGAAGAGCTAATTTCAGACTACATGGGTAAAGGAAGGCTCCTTTTCCTCTTTCTCTTGTAGCATGTTTTATCTTTGAAACCTATACTTAATCCTTAATGCCTTTTTTAATTTACTGCCTCAAAATCTACATGGCTATACTCTCGCGCTGAAAAGAACAACAACAAAAAACAAAACAAAACAACAACAACAAAATACCCCACATTCCATAAATTAAAACTTCAGACCAGGGCTTTGAAGCAGAAATTCTCCCAGCCCCCTGTCCCCACACAAAACCAAAACCAAGTAAAAAGAAAGAATGAGAGAAGAAAAAGCTTTCTCTCAGGGCCTGGAGTGCTTATGTAATTCCTCCCTGTCAGGCAGCCACGGGATGCTAGGCAGGAGCAAATTAAGTGATTAGTTTTAAAAAAAGAAAAGAAAGAAAGGAGAGAGAAAGAGAGAGAGAGAGAGAGAGAGAGAGAGAGAGAGAGAGAGAGAGAGAGAGAGAGAGAGGCCTAAGGATGGGAGGATGTAAGGGGAGAGAAAAGCTGCCTTCCTGGCCATTTCCCCTATGACTGTACATAGTAGAACCGCTAAGAAATGATACTTGAAGTTATATTTATTATTGTAAGAGGGGTATGAGATTTCTAGGCAGGAATGATGGATGACAGCTTAAATTTGTGTCCAGGGAATGAAGGTGAACTGTGACAGAGTTATTTATCTTGGGAATGGAGGTTAGGGTCAGCCCAGGCTGGGTGCCTGAAGGCACAAGACATTGACAAATTTATCCTGCAGGCCGTATCTGAAGCCCTTTGTTTTGGATCCTGGCTTCTCAATAAGTGACCCTCATCCTTCATGTTGGCAATTCGTGAAGGATGCGGTGAGTGCCAGCGGGGGCCCCTTTCTCCCCCTCGCCCCCACCCCGGCTCCCTGCTACTAATTCTTGTCATTCACTCTGCTGACAGGCACCAAGCCCAAACTATTCCCAGTTCTGAAAGGGAAGGTTAAAATATTTATTTCGGCTCATAATGGCCTCTCTGATTTACTGCAGGATCTTTTTCCCCTTGCCTTTGTCATTGCAGGTCACTGGAAGGACTGAGCGCATTCAGGAGCCTGGAGGAGCTCATTTTAGACAACAATCTGCTCGGAGACGACCTCGTGTTGCCAGGGTTACCCCACTTGCACACCTTAACCCTCAACAAGAACCAAATATCCTTTTCTGGCACCCAGGACGCCAGGTCCCCGCAGTACCCCACTTGCCGCCCAGCTCTACGGGTGTTCCATTTTGCCACCCCACACCCTTCTCCGCAAAAAATACCTGCAAAATGTCAAATGAGTTTTATGTGTCAGCTAAATTAAAGTATGTGAAATACAGTCGGTGGGCAGACAAAGCGTTCTGTCTTCTGGCACTCGGGACACTTCAGAGTAATTTATTATAGGTCATTCATAAATGAAATGCACCGTTATATCTTCCTGTTGCTCTATTTTAGTGTAGAGATCTAAGTTATGGCTGCGAGGAAATCTTTTTAATAGATAAAAATAGAAAAAGAAAATAATGTCACTGGTGCCTGGGAGGAAAAGCTGCTTCTGTTTGCCTGGGCTTGTGTGGGAGGGCGACCTCTGGTGGCAAGATATAGGTACTACCGCTAAGTTGACAGTCCTTATAGGCTTCTAGAATGCTTTTGGTGTAGGCTAGGGGAACAGTTCTGGATGTCAAGAAGGGAGAGAGAGCTGAGGTGTAAAGAGAAGTGTGAAGGTCAGGCTCTGCACTCCCCTTGTAAACAGTTCTGGGTGTGATAACAGGCCTAGAAGAACCATGGGTTATGACCTTCTTTGGGTAGGTGAGCATCTACCCAGCCTGAGATGAGAATTAGGAACTAACTGCCCTGGCTTCTATAGTAAGAATAAATCAGAAGACTTCTCTAACAGCATAGGGTACATGGCATCTACATTGTTAGTGCTCTGGATTACCAGGTGCTAGGATGCCAGCTCTAGCAGGCAGGGATTTCTGGATCCTTCCTATGAACAATCCTGCCTGGGTAGAGTTCACATTCTACAGATATCTGCGGGATGAACAACATATTCATTTTCACGACTTTCTCAGTGACCTCTGATGGAAGCCATACACTGTTCTGGGGGACTTTTAAGCACCTCACATTCCATTTTTTTTACCAAGTCCAGTGAAGAGTGTATAGTTGTCTATTTATCTAGTCTTAGAAATTCCAAGGTTATGTACAAACTCCCAGTCAAACACTGAACGAGATAGAGACATGGGTTCAAAATGGAGACCTATGTAAGCATGTAGGATGCTTTGCAAAATTATTTGTTAGCCTCATTGGTACTTCAAGCTGTAAGTTAATATTTTCTTTATTCTGTAAACATTGTCTCAGCCAGCTCTTGCTACTATGACTGAATACTTTTGAATGGGAAGCCCCTAGCAAGTGTCTGTTGCTCATAGTATGAAGGCTGGCAGTCTGAGAGCAGGGTCCAGCAGGGGAGGGATTTTGATGGTGAGTCCCTTGCTTGTTCTTGCATTGGGGACAGAGTGGGAGGAAGGAAGGTGAAGGAGGAGAAGAGGCAATGTTCTTGTCTGTTCTTATCAATAGACTAATTCATCCTATCGTGAGCTCTACCTTTAGGACTTAATAACTTCTCAAAGGATTTGGAATTGAGAGATTTGAGTTGTGGGAGGGAGATATAAACAGTTTGTGCTTTACAAATGTGCTCCTTATGGCTGTCATCAGTGGACACTTTATTAGAGGAAGAGGGCTTACAAGTAAGTTCACAATCTGTGACATAGTGACATTTGGTAGAGGTTTCTTTCATCAACCCTTTGCTCAACTAGTTTCCAAGTTGTTGTTCTGTGTATTTTCTATCTTCCTGGGCTGTCTTAGATGATCAGCTGGGCCATATGAGCAACTGGATCAAGGAGAGAAGTATTATTCAACTAAACTTTAGATGATCCCATTCCTCCCTTGAGCCTCAGCCCATGTCTTGTGTCTCATGTCACTGCAGGATATTATGGTTCACAGACTTAGTTTCACATGTCCTCTTGGTCATATGTAGCTGTGTGGCCTGGTACACGTAAACTTCTGGGAGCCTAGTCCTCAGTTTTAGAGACATAGCTTATATCAGGTGGTGGTTTTATTCTTAGCACCACTGAGGTTGGCAGGCATCTTGGGTTACAGAGTGCTGGGAGATTGACTCCATCTTTTATTAAGTTCTGTTCCTATTCTGTGCCTTAACTTCCTTGAGCCCTAGTGGTAATACTAAAGGAGTTAAGGAAACAGCCTGGGGAGTCACTGTGTTGCTGAAAGTCCAATTACATAGCTGTACTTCTACGGAGCATCTTATTAGGCATGGATACAGACCACAAAGTGTTGTCCTAGTCAGGTTGCTATTTCCCACTCAGGGAGTTATGCAATAATAAGTTCTTTCCTCTTTCCTCCCTGATATACTGGGACTGTGACAAAAGTCAGCTTCCCCTCCCATTTGATCTAGAAGTCGCAGTCTGAAAGGTAGGCAAAAGCAGACAACAACGTATGCCATCCTCTTCGGCTAACTGCCTCTTATACTGACCCTGTCTTTTCAGGTTAAAACTCCCTACTTGTGAAAATATCCCAATTCTGCACAAGTGATATAGAGTAGGTATTTCTGGTGCTGTCCCATGGGATGCTCCAGACATGGACAAGCTCTGTCAGCTAGCTCATGTAGCATGACACTCCACTCCACAAAACAATAAATGTTCCATGCACTTCAATTCTATGTGAGTCAGGGCTCGGCTGGATGGTTCTTCTGACGATCTTAGTTTGTGTCACTCAGGCAACCATGTTTATTTTTTTTTGTTCTTGTTTTTGTTTTTTACCAGCACTAGATAGTCTAAAATAACCTCACTCTTACCTATGCAATTAGTGCTGGCTGTTGGCTCAGCGGCCTGCCTCTAATGGGCTGCATATACCATCAATATGTGAAAGGATTTGTCCAGAGCATAAGCCCTGGTGTATATGTGCTTGTCAAATCCTGCTTGTAGTGTGAAAGCAACTCACATACCCGTGCAGAACAATGTGGGCAATGACACAGTTATTCATATAGAGAATAGCTCATTTCTACGGCTATCTACTACACCAGTCTTGCCATCTTGTCTCTACGAGATCTTATTTAGTTTTCACTATAAAGCATCTTATTGGCTCTTTGAACTACTTTTTTTTTTTTACAGCCCAGTCCCACCTGCCCAGGGATTGTATCAATTAACAGTTGATGGAGTCCATCTCCCTGATAATGGCTATGTTTGTGTCAAGTTGACAAAAGCTAACTATGACGTCATCCTAGAAGTATGAAAACCACCCTCACTTGACTAACGCCATTATCACTAAAGGCAGAAAGTAGGGTGAACGTATTTCTTAGACTTTTATACTTTACTGTAATTCTAATCTCATTCTCTGATTCTGGGAATTACTGGTGATAATTCTCTTTCACATTTTAAAATACCCAGAGACTGCAAGCTTCTAGAAGCCACATAGATTGCCACAGGTATGGTATCATCTAGACTCCACTTAGGCTGACTCCGAGCCCCAGATTCTAAAACTCAAAAGAAAAGCCATCTTCTTGCTGGATAGGACTTGCATGTGGGAAGAGTCAGATGCCAGCTATAGTAAGGCCCAGTTGAGGCTACAGGAATTCTATCTACAGAAGAGATTCCAATGTCGAGACTCTATCACACCTGGAAAATTTCTTCTCAGTTCACCAATTAATGCATCTGTCCCAGTTATAGAGGTTTTTCTCCTCCAACCCCCATCTTTGTTCTAGCCCCTCTTTGTTCAAAGTAATTAATCATAGGCCATAGACTTGAAAATTTATCCCCAGCTCTGACAATATCACCCACCAACCTCTGACTATCTGTCTCTTTCTCTCTGTCTCTGTCTCCCTGACTCTCTGTCTGTCTCTCTGTCTCTCCCTCCCTCACTCTCTACCTCTCTCCCTCTCTCTCTCTCTCCTTGGCTTCTCCACCAGCAACACTGAGGTCTTCTGTGTTGATATCAGTCATGTGATCTCTGGATAGTCAACCCCAAGTAAGGGACTGACTAAAAATTTTAGGAAGTATAGATGCACAATTACCTTCGCACAATTTAATGGTTGTCCTCCATCATTCCTTGTGGGAAAACACAGGCCTTATTTGAGATTATGCTTAATTTTCTTCTGCAGTGTTTACACCAGCATATGTGCTAAAAGTATGACCAGTTTGAATCATAGCACACACAGGAAGAAAGAATAGTGCTGTGTGTTACACAGCTGGGCTATGGCAAGGAGATGAGTGTGCCATGTCACAAAACTGGACCTCACCCTTAAAAAAATATTATGTACTCATGTGTATTTGTGTGTGGGTATGTACTTATAAGTGTAGGTGCCAACAGAGGGCAGGGAAGAACCTCAGGTCTCCTGGAACTGAGATTATGGGTGGTTGTGAGCTGCCGTAAGTGTGTGTTGGAACTATACTCTCATGTCTTTATAAGAGTAGCAAGCCACTGCTCCAGCCCTCTGGAGCTCACTTTTAACAACAGTTTCTTATCATTTTGAATAAATATATTTTCTTTTTCAAGGTCTTGCTTTCTTTTATAATTCAGAATATTGAGTAGAGTAATCTATTACTTTAGAATATTGATCTTTGGGATCTTTATTCCCAAAGTAATGGTGATCTTTGGGAAGCCACCTGTTAACACTCGATGATCCTTCTTGTTCCCTGGTACACTTAGCTAAAATTTCTTGGTACACTTAGAGAAAACCACAGTGCTTTGAAAACATACTCCTAAACTGAGATATCCGAGACAGACAGCACAGCTGGATGACAGCGTTTTATCTCCCTCCCCCCTAACATATTAAACTCTTCATTTTTCAGTCTTTTAATTTTATCCTTTGTACTAGAAATTGAGTCATTTTTCCCCATAGAAATGACTTAGACTTCTTAGACTTGAATATAGTCTCTGTCATTTACTGGCTGTGTGACTTATAATCTCATTTTTCTTTTTTTTCTTTTTGCTAAGCTAATATTTCTGATATGTATTTACACGCAAGGGGTGCAAATATATCATTACACTGTGTACTTAGCATCCAAATGTCTGCTATTGGGTTAAAATTTCCCAGGGGTTATAAAATTGTTCCTTGGCCTGGAGATGAACCCAAAGTTGGGAGGTTCTACTCTCAGCTGGGAAACCACCCTGGCTTACGTACAATAGGACCTGCATGCCAGGAGGTTCTCCTTCTGTCTTCTCTAAACATGTAAGAAAGACACCACTTTGATCTTACCCTCTCCGTATAGAATCACTTTTGGCAAGCTTCATCATGATAGCTGAGCTCCACAATGGCAACTTCCGGTAGACACTGACAAAAAAAAAAATCCTAAGTGACTAATGCTCTGGAGAAGGCTTGATGAGGGACACCAGGTGTGTTCTGAGAATCCAGCTGGGGAGAGTTGACACAGTTCCAGGGAGCTCGAAGAAAATGTGCCCTTCCAAACACCTCCCAAGTCATTTCCACTGTCATGATCTTGGTTAGTTGGAGATCCCAGAGTTGCATCCACTCATTGCCTTGGCTTAACTTTCCACATGACGTTACAAGTTCCATCTCAGCTGACAATCAGGCAGGACAGGACTGTGTTTGTTCTTGTTGACCCAGGAGACTGAGGAGCCAATTAAAACTCCATCTCCTATTTCATGCTTTGGGGATGGAATCAATGAAGATGAAGGGCTGGTGCAGAACATGCTGTAGGCTTCCTGTCTGCTGTGGATTGTGGGTAACTACTTATCTCATCCTGCTTTGTCATATAGTAGGTTGTTGGAAAGGCTTAGAACAATGGAGTTTCCATCATACCAAACATCCCACATGAGACAGACTCCTGGACCTGCACTGTGTTTATTGGTACAGAGAGCTAGAGCATCTTGAAGCCTAAAGTGTCCATGTCCAGGATATTTAAGGGGATCTATCTGTCCTGGGACTCCAGTCAATGAAAGGCCACTGTTTTTATGGAGTATGGAGTTTAGATAACAAAAAGGAGCCCTCTAAAAAAGACGAATGTTCCATAGCTAAGGGTATAAATTACGTACAGAAAGGATGTTGATGGACTAGACATATGGCTCAGCATCTGAGTACCTGCCTAGCATGGTCAAGACCCTGTGTTGGATCCCTCATAATGTAAACTGAAGATGAGAATAAGGAGGATGCATATGAGAATAAAACCATGAATGTTCAATTGGAATAAAAATATATCAAAGCAAATTTTAAAAATTAAATTGACAAGTACCACAAATGTTAAAATAACTAGAAAGGACAGAAATCTTTTTATACTAGATATGCCTATTTCAAAATCTTATTTCTTACAAATTCCCTTACAGCTCTGTTGCGTAATCACATTTGTGATGTTTTCTATAGAGAGCATAGAATGACAATTCCATCTTTTAGCATGATTGACTGAAAACTGGATTTTGTTTTTAGGAGTTGAGACATAGTTATGCTATGATTTAGATGGGAATCGTCTAAAACTCCACACACTGAAGGTGTAATCCCCAAAGCAATGCTTCCAGAACGTGGTGGAACCCCAGACACTATGAGCTAAAATAACCCCTTCTCCTTTTTAAGTTGCTCTGTCAGGTATTTTGTCCAGGGTGAGGCAGAGCTGACTCCCATAGCCTGGCCTGTTATTGATGGCCCGTACTTCTTGCTAAGCCTTTCATTTTCTTGGAAGAAGATCCTTAACCTTTGGCACATTACTGACCTGGAGTACCTCCTTGATCACCTGGCAGAAGTGACACCATCCTTAGAGTACCTCAGCCTGCTGGGAAATGTGGCATGTCCCAATGAGCTGGTCAACTTGGAGAAGGATGAGGAAGACTATAAGAGATACAGGTGAGTGCTCACATGGTGGTGGAAGGGAAAAAGAGACTCTAGGCATAGAATGCTGTGGGATGTAAAACAAGCATTGGTAAGCATCCATTGACCTCCCATGACTGTGTTAAACTGTTGTCTTTTAGAAACAGAATCCATTTGATTCCTTTGTTGGGTTCATAGGAGCCAAGAAAGGATAGGAGATAGTCAAGATCAGGGGCTGAGAAATGTTTTTCATCATGGGCTAACTCATATACATTTTAGGTTTTACATGGATTCTGCCTTTACTGTTGAACCCTGATGTTAAAGTGTGGAAGCAGCCATGAATGATTTATAAATGAATATACCTGACTCTCTCCCAATAAAACTTTATATAATAAGAAAGGGGATTAGAGATATCTTCCCTTTGGCCTCTGTAATAAAAGAACATTGTCCTTAATACCCTACTCAAGTCAACAGAGGAGAAAAGAAGAAAACACTACAGTTGGAGCTGGGGCTCTTGGGATCCGGCTCTGAAAGGGTTGGGAAAAGAGGCTAATGGTTTGAGAGGAACTTGTCCTACTGGAATTTTTATAAAACCCTGGTAATCTGCAAAGAAGTGTAGCAGGAGTAATTATTGTGTATCAGGCCAACAGTGTAAGAAATACTGACCGTTATTATAGATTTATGAGAAAAAAAAACAGTCCGACAGAGGGACATAAATAACATAAAGCAGGGATTCAGTTATATTTCCATCCAGAGGAATTTTGTGACTTTGGCTTCATTTCTAAGTTTCATGATTAATTTTGTAGGATTTCTAGGCGATTCTCATATTGACTCAGAACAAATCAGATTCCTGCTTGAAAAAATAAGCTCATGAAAGTCCTTCTCCATTTGGAATACTTTTCTATCCCAATGTGAGGTATAGATTTAAGAGTGACTTCTGATAGGAGAAACACAGTTGCCATCCAGCCAGAGCAACTTGCTCATTTCTCATGTTTAATTGTTTAACTGCTTAGATGTCAAATGACTTCTGGAACATTCTCTTTCAACTTTGAATCATGAGATTGTCTATACAAAGTGTATAGACTCTAAACCTAGTACCTTCTTGAATCAACAATTTTGGAAAAGCACTTTTCATTATAATTATTAGTGTATATTGTCAGGTGAATGAGATTCACTGTGATATTTTCATATCACAATATATATTGTTCTTTGTTAGTATTAAACTCTCACAACTTCCTCTGTACCAACCCATCTCCCTGCTTCTTCTGGCCCATTTACTCTTCCTCAGTGGTATCTCTACCACTACTTGAGATTGTATTTGTTTTCTGTTTAATTCTAGTTTCCATGTATAAGATAATGTATGTGATACCTAATCTGCTCTAATGTAATGATATTTTGGTCTATGCATTTTCTTGCAGACAACATGACTTTGGTCTCCTTTGTGGCTAATAATATTCCCTTATATGTAAAACTGTATTATTATCCTTTTATCTGTTGATAGGCACCTAGACATCCTCCATCTTGGCTATTGCCAGTACTAATTTTAAGATATATTTTGTAAGGTCAAGTCAAAAAAGTTCATCTAATAAACATATTTCACAAATCAAACATTGTTTAAAAATTTTCTTTATACTTTCTGAATTTTTCTTCATATTTTTGTTCCATTTATAAAACATAGGTAACTTTTATATATGTATGAGTATACATGTATATTACCTATTTATGTGCATATATATTCTTATAAATATGCTTACACATGTCCATTTATTCATTCATCCAACCAAACATAATATGTGAATACAAGTGTAGATACATCAGTTTTTTCAGATGAGAGAGAGCAGGGAGTTGGGGGGAAGAAAGAGAAAGAGTCAAATGAGTTTTCCATTTCCATCTTGTTCTGTTTGATCTCAGATACAGAGCTTAGAGAGGTGTAAAGGGAAGAGAAAAGCAAATACTTCATTGTTGATTTTGTAACTGGTCAGATTGACAAAGCAGACCAAGCTTCACTGTATAAGCAGTAAGATTTGAAAATCTAATGTGGAATCCCATTTCGATAGGATGACTTGAAACAGGGATGACTGTCTAGATCAGTGGTCCTTATATGACTCAGAGTCAACTCAGCCTCTATCATTCTTTTGGTAGCAAACCATGTTTGGATTTACTAGTTCATCCTATGCTATACATCCCTGTATTCCTCTCACTTGTATAGACTTGTATACACGGAGAGAAGAATTACCACTGAGTAAGAGTGGAGTCCTTGTCTCTTGAAGCCTAATGCAAACCTAAGTCATGAAAGTGGCTAGGTGACTATGCTAGGATATTTGGAATTATTCTCTCTTCTTAGGTATCAGATCCAGTTAGTTGGTAGCAGCTATCATCCAGACTCAATCCAAGTCTAAGTTGTGGGTCAAGGTTTTTGCAGAAAGTTTATTTCTCTAAGAGCAATCCTCCTCATGGATCCACGTTGGTGGTCCCCCAAGCATGTCCTCCCCATCTCAGGTCTGTGTTGCTGGCAGGATGTGAGAGATGGGGCTGAGAAGGCTGTTTGTTAGTGTATTTATGACAATGTTGCCTTGAGGGACTGGAATCAAGAGTTTGCACGCAGCCCAAATCACATCTAGCCACAATTGCCTTTGAAAACCCATAAGTTATCCACACAGTGACGGGTAGATGCTCACACTTGGAGAAAAGGCAGCCACCAAGAACAATAGAGGTATTAAATGTGTTCCTACTCAGTAACAAATTCACTACATCATCTTGTGAAATGCTGAGCTGATTCTCTAACATGCTTAAATCTTTTATTCTTTTTTTTTTTTAATTGTTGACTTGAAAAGCACTCTTCCCTGTATTTGGAAAAGTGAGATGCAGGCACAGCACAGCTCAGTCAGCCCCATGGTCTTTCGGCAGCCCTGCTTTCTTCATACTGGTTGGTGATTCATTTGCCCCTGAGACGTTTTAGGGTTTCACAATATGGCTTTTGAATTCAGAGTTCCTGTGACATATGTGTTTAAACAAAGCAGTACAATGGCCTACCTCATGTTTGGTAAACTATTTTCCTGCCCCTTCATCCACAAAGTGTGAGGTCTACCTTCTCTCTGGCTGTCACTGAAATCATCATAGCGGAAGCTTTATGTAAATTTATATGGCATTTTTGCTAGCAAATGACTTACGCAATGAATGATACTTCTATAGTTTCCTGTTTTTCACTTTAAGTAAGTTTTTTCAACAATGCTTCATCTATTAATCATTTAAGCAATAGCATTCAGAAGCAGGAACCTGTGGTTCATTTAGTGCTGTTGAAAAAAATTTCCTATTGATTGGCATCCTCTATGGTCATGTGATGTAATATTTATGTCACCCAGCCATACATCAAAACAAGTGGGTCTGTTGTTTTGTTTCCATGGGAGATGTTGACTTCAAAGATTTCAGCTCAGGTTTAGTTCATGTTGTGGCCAACCACCAGATCTGGAATGGGAAGTGACTACGTTTATGTATGTTGTGCTCTCTGTCTCATCTTTCCTACCCTTTCCCCAGTGTCTACTCCTTTGGCTTCCTCATTTACCTTTGTGTACATAGTTGGATTTTCTTGGCATGCATCTCCCCAGTAAAACAGGCTCATTAAATTTCTCTGTAAAGAAGGACATACTATCGAGTGGTTGAGCAGAGTCCTGAGCCTGCTGTTATAGGGGTGTAACTATACCAGGATTCTCTTTGCCATTTGTCTTTGCTTATGGGTGAGAAGTGGATATGGCCACCTTATCACAGGGCCTGAACCCACTTGCATTTCACTGTGTGGATACAGCACTGCTGCTCTGGGATGAATGTTGAATGGATATGAACTTGGGCCTCTTGCAGATTTTGACACCATCCAAAATCAATATAGTAAGTCAGGGGTGGAAATCTTGGTACTCAGAACAGTTTATCCTTTGTTTTTTTCTGGCAATTTTTTTTTTT